AGTGAGAGAGACAGTTTTAAGTTTTGATTGTTGTCTTCTGGTTGTGTGCAAGTGTTCTGGAGAAACGTGCACTGCTCACCCTGTGAAGTTTGTTTGCATCGTGGAAATGATGTAGGAGTACAAGTGAACAGCACATATGAAGGAATCTGCATTCTGACGTGTAAAAAGTTGTTGTGTTGTTTATTAAATGTCGTTCATAGTTCCAGTCAGATTAATGTTCTACAAAAGCTAAGTTTTACAAACTAACTGACTAGTAGTTATATTCACTTACACCATTTTGCATTTTGTGTATTACATGGATTCTTATGTTGCTGTTGTTTTTAAATGTAAGAATAAATGTGTGTATGTGTCATTTCTGATTAATAATGTTTTGTTTTGTAAAACATAGTAAGACTACAAAAATCTTAATTTTTTAAAATATATTTCAATCCAGCAAGTTACTTTTGCTGTACTGTAGTGCTCAGTCAACACCGTCCAGGGGGGTGCCTGCAAGACAGAGGAAGAACGTCATATCGTGTGTGACAGTTGCGGACAGCGATGGAGAGGACCATAGGAGTCCGGCTAAACCTCAACAGTTGTATCACCACCAACAGCAGCAGCAGCAGCAGCAGCCACCCCAGCAGCAACAGCTACCACAAGTATCTGCGTCTGTTCATACACCAGCACACATCGTCAGGGAGATAAAGCATGAGCCACAACACAGGTATGTAACAGTAGTCATTTGTTTCCACCGTGTGATCTCATAGTGCACGTCACTAAAGTGACTGGCTACGGAGTCCCAGCAGTGGTACTAGGACTTTTTCTTGTCTTGCCCGGAGTGCATAGTGGATGCTGACACATGTCCTTGTGTGCCTTCATGGCATATTTCTTAAGTATGTGTAACTTTACCTTTACCATGAAGGAGTGTTGTTGTTATTATGATGTGCACTATAATTTGTTCTGTTTATTCCATGTATAGCTATTCAAGTGGGGCGTCACAGTCGCAGAAGAAGCGCTTGCTCGCTAAAGCCCAGTCTGAATGCATGCTTGGCGTGGCAACGAAGCGGGAACCAGGGCTTACTGACTACCACCATAATGACTATGTGCACCACTCAGCTTGCAGCAAGGAGCCAGCATTAGTTGCTAGCAGTTCAGCCAATGCTGTGGCAGCAGGGTACCATTATGTAACCACTTCTTCAGCAGGTGGTCACGTCACTGCCACTGGCCAGGAGCAGCACATTGTATATACTGGGTAAGGTTTGTCTTGTCGCTGCCCTAAACATTTTGATGTTGGGGGAACATTTAATATACAATTTTTCATTCCCAAGTGTCTTATCACAATTTATGTTCTTATATAGAACATCCTGCATTAGAAAGTATCCATCCATCCATCCATCCAATGGCGCTGCAGCCCATATCGGGCCTTGGCCTCCTGCCATGTGGGAGGTTTCTTGGTCCTTTAAGTGTGCATTTGTGAGTAGTGGGTGACCAGCCCACGGACTCTGCACAATTTCTACTCAGTCTTGATTTAATTGGCAGAGCCATCTAGCAGTCAATCAGGAAACGATTTGGGTGAGAAATGGCCGCTGAATTTTGCTTACGAAACATCTCATGTCATGCTCTTAAGGTTCTTTTACATGCCGTAAATCTACGACATGGGACCGCCGGTCTTACTTCCCCTCCGAAGGAAGTTGTGCTACGGTTTGAACCCGCAAAGCTTTGGGACCAGTGACGAGCACACTGACCACTACTCCACAGAGGACAACTTTCATTTATAAGAGACAATAGAAAATCATGAAGGCGACAGAAAGAAAGTATTTTAATAGTAATCAGGGGTTACGCTTTTTATGAAGGATGTAATTTTATGTATTTTGTAATAAGTCTTTTTCATTTGTTGGTAAAAAATTAATGCTTGAGTTTGGATGTGTGTTGGACCGGCTGTTTAATTTTTTGAGTATCCTGTAAAATTAAGTCTGAACAGTTGATTTTGTTGATCAGTTGTAGCGGAGACAAGCGTGGATCATGGGCTCCCCCTGCGGCACACACAGGACGAGAAATGCTTGCTCCTCCATCGGCTCATAATAAACGAGAGTCTGTGGCTCGTGACCACTTGATGGTACCTGTCGGCTCTCATCGAGAGTATCACATCCCTCAGCAAGGTGGGTTTGCTAGCTTGTACAAGGGCATTTAGTCATTACTTGAACTTTGTTTTTAGGTCATGATTTGTTGGCACAGTACAGAATGTTATGTGATCGGGTGCACTTTGTAAGTGAAAGGTTGTGAAATTGGGAACCAGTAACTGTCATCTACATGTGCTTTTTTTCTGTTGCATTTGTTACACATTTCAAAAAACTGATGAAAGTTCGTGTTTCCTATAAGCTATTGTTTTTGACAGAAGTACCTGCTGATGTCACTGACCATGATGTGGCGTGAAAAACATCTTTGGAATTTTATTGTAATCCAGTCTTGTTCTTCCCATTAATTATAAGCATAGTACATTTTTCAGAGTCTGTCTGATTGCTTTGTTTCTTTTGATGTGTCACTGAAGTGCCAGGCTTGTCGTTCTGCTTCAGAATGATTCCCACTTAATGGTTTGTGGAAATATAAGTGTGACTGTTGTATTTGTGGACTAATAAATAGCCTTTGCTATTGTCCATGATGAAATTAAGAGTAGAATACTTTCAGGAAGTGCTTGTTTTTATTTAACTCCAAAACTGTTGACATCTCATTTGCTGTACAAAACACTTAAGATCAGGATATATAAAAAATAATTTTGCCTGTTGTATTGTATGGTTGTCAAACCTGTTTTCTTACCTTGAACGAAGAACATAGGTTACAAGTGTTGGAAATGATGCTCAGGAAGGTATTTGAACCTGGGAAGAATGAAGTAAGTGGGGGAGTTTGGAATATTGCGTAACAAGGAGCTACGTGAATTGTACAGGTCACCTAGCATAGTGAGGGTAGTGAAATCTAGGAGGCTCGAATGGGGGGTGGGGCCAGGGGTGCATAGAGAATTTTGGTTTAGAATCCGGGAAAATGACCTCTGGGCAAACCAAGGAGGAGATGGGAAGATAATATGAAGATGGATCTTTGGGAGATGTGCTGTGAGGATGGTAAATAGATGGATTTGGCTCAGGATTGGATGGTCATCAGATCATATGCATTAGGTCAGAAAATAGCTTTCGAATGTTACTGTGTATAATATGAAAGCTGAGATCACAGAATCCACATGCTTGCTGTTGTGTGGGATGTATGCTGATAATTTGGAATTTGCTGTTTCTGTGCATAGTCCGCACTGAGTTGTTTCATTGAGAATTTAGTTGCTCTGCAGTTCAGAACAAGAAACAGCCAATACTGTACGATTCCTTCACAGCAACAAGTGTGCACAAGGAATACATCCAGCCTCCCGCAGCGCACACGACGCGTGAGGCAGTGGCAGTGTCGACACGGGAACATCATTTGCTGGCGGCAGCAGCACAGGCCAAGACATGGAGCACAGCAGCTGCATCAGCTTCCCACCCTGTCCTGCATCAGGGATATCGGCATAGCAGCGCACACTTGTCTCCTCAGCCTCTTGCACATGCGGCTGCTGCCAGTCGCCTCTCCCCTCAGCATCCCCTAGCAGCGGCCGGACAACCCCTGTATCATCAACCGGAACTTTACCGCCGACCTGCTGTGTACGTGACCACCACACAGCCTGCCTACTTGCCAGCCAGCCACCAGGTTGCTCCTTTTACTGCGGGGTGAGTAAATAGTGTGTCTGATGCAAACTGGTTTTGAGAAATTTGAGCTTCTGACCTGATTTTTAAGCAAATAGTGTGTAATCTTGTTTAACATGTCATCGGCTTATAATTATGTTGTCCTGATTCTTGAGTAACGGGAGATGGACACAAATATACGTTTAAAAATGCATTCTTTGTGATTATGCATTTTTTATTGTCCTGCAGGTAATTTATTTCTATTTTCTCACGCAGTTGGTGGCCTTGGTAGTTCAGGTGAATTAGGTATTGGTGTATGTGGCCAGGGTCAGACGTCAACTATTCAGGTTATTCTTGAACCTGAAGTTAGTGATTATTTACACTTAAAACAAAATTAATGTTTTAATCCAGTTCAGGTTTTAACAGTGATCCTATGACATTCTTGTAGACCTGTTCACTTTGCATGGAACTGTAAATTATTTCTCCCTGGTTTCTTGCAGTACTGAAAAATGTTTCAAGTTGTAGTTGGTTTTTTATTATTGTGTTTCATGTCATATGCAAATTTTTTGTGCGATACATTTTTCAGAAAATTGGCTTGAAGTTCCATTTGCACTTGCGGAATTGGATTTAACCGCTGTGAGCCAGCATTCACTGTCAGTCCCCAGTACCAGACCAGTCTGTAGTTTGAGGGGTGAAATGTACAGAGAGAGTGCAAAGAATTTATAAAATTTGTTCGTTTTAAATGAGACCTTTTAGAAAACATTTTGTTTGAAGGGGTTTCCCACTGTCTGTGCATTGTCTTTAATGCTCTACTAAATTGTCTTTGATTCAATATGAATCTTCAAGCTGTGATGATTAAATCCTTTTGATACGCGTATTAATGGAAGGTGGATATTTTGCTAATCTATTCAAGTTTGTAACATGATAGTTTTGCTATGATAAATGTTTGAGATCTGCACTGCTCTAGCAGGTTTCGTTGCGTGTGTTTCAGTAGGGCGTTGCCCCCTCCAGCGCATCATGCCAGTGCAAGACCAGTACTGGCAACACACCCCTCCCACCCTCTCCCTGCACACATGCAACCAGCAGCTGTGTTCCCAGCACATCCCCAAGTGGCAGCATCATACGGATTTGCTCCACTCAGCCCAGCCAAGTCACATCAATACCAGCCTAGTCTGTGGTTCACGGAATGAGAAGGTAACATCGCTCAAATAGTTTGCCTGCTTAGTCATGATCCTGCAAAGAAAATAGATGTATTTGTGAGGCTGCTGCCGTCACATTACCGTGGATTGGCAGTGGCAGTCAATTTCTTCATGACTGTCAGAAGTTCAGTTCCTGGTCAAGAGAGGAGCAGAAGATGCACGTTTCCTTTGCGCGTTCCTCTTCCGTATGTATGATGTTTGTGTAATTGAGATATAAGAGAGAAGGAATATGCTATGAGATTGCCCAGACGACAATTTTTGGCCAAGTACGACACTTTTGAGAGGAGAACAATGTTTTGGATGACAAGTTGATTCTGTAATGCGTGAACCTACTCTTTTTTTTTCTTTTCTTTGACAAGAACTCAGTTAATAAAGAGAAATGAGAAGAAAATATAAAATAATCAAATTTAATTGGATACGTCCATTATTTGAGTCGCTCACTTACTAAGTGTTGTATTTCCATCATTCATTGTTTCTTCTGGAATATGCTTGTAAGTGTGTGTATGCATGTATGTGTGTTAAGTCTGGATTTTTGTTCTCCGTTCGTGTATTATATTTATCGTTTGTTGATGTTGAATTAAATGTACTTGGCGTACATTACACAATTTTGCATTTTTAAAACTGTCTGTATCAGATTGAAAGTAATTTTTGTGTCAAGTATCCATCAGGGTGATTAAGCTGGTTACGATTTGGTTCTTTGTATTTTGTTGCGTTGTGTGACTATTTATCAATCATTCCTGCCTGCAAGTTACCACTGTGAATTAAATATTGGTAACGAGAAATGTCCATTCAATTCAACACTGAAAACTGTACATATGTGTGAGACAACTGTCAGGAAGTTTAATGAAATTCTTTTGTGGTGAACAACTTGTACATAGTAGCAATGAGATGCTATTTGCCTTGTTTTAAAGTGTGATGCTCGTTAGATATTTATATTTTATCCATTGTGACAAGTGCATTTTAAGGAGAGCTCCACGGTAAATACCGACCAAATGGGAAGTGAAGTTCTCGAGGAGAGTTTTAGGAAGATAAACTTTTACATGTGATGTAGTAGAAGCATTTTTATGAAAAATCCCAAGTCAATGTGCCTATTTAAATATCATCGTGTTATTTTAATTTGAGGTTTGTAAATAATGTTTCCTGCCCATTTTCATGTACCAAGCTACCATTATTATATCATAAGGAAATGAAATAACTTTTAACTTGATGTAATCATTCATTTGTTAGATTCATCATCTTAACCACTCCATTACTTTAACTGCTTTTACCAATCTGCACTGCCTTATATCAGCTGCTGGGGTCACCTGATACGCCTGTAGGCTTTAGCCTTGACTGGCAACACAAACCCAAAATTATTTGAATAAATTAATAAAAGCAGATTATACAACTTGTCTGGTAAGAGTACAAAGTAATATTCAAGTGCATTTGTTATTTCAAGTGTGACAATGTATACCTAGATACCAAATGTAAGACTGAATAATTTCATCCTTTGGCA